TTTCCTCGCCAAGGACAGCGGCGAGGCTCCGCCGCCGGCGTGCTTGCGTGCCCGGCTGCGCGCACCGTCCCTGGGGAAGCGGGAGAGGGCAGGGATCGACAAGCTGTCAGGCAGGAGGAAGAAATACCACTTCCAGGAGTCAGAGCTCATTTCCCAGCAATAAAAGCAGACTGGGGCTAGGGGAAAGCACCGCTAATGGGGATGCACATCCCGCACCACTTCAGCTGCCGACAGGGAAGGACCTAGGGGCTGCAGCCTGGAAAAATAAAAGCCACGAAGCAACGCTTCGGGTTCAGCGGTGTAGCCCCGGATTGGGGTCGGATCAGCGCATAAAGGATCTGCCCCTTCCCAACACGCGTTATCGCTGTGGACAATGCCCTCCACGTGCCAGCCTCGGCTCCCCGGCTCCTAGCTACAGCTCCTCCACCAAATGGGAAAAGAAAACGTTATTGCTTCCTCCCAGGGAGGGGAATTGCTCAGATCAGCGTCCCCCCTTCAGCCCCCCCCTCTCCCCTCCATCCTTTTCAGCCCCATTATCCCCACTCCACCCACCCACACTCCTCTGGGGACCCGAGGAAGGGCCAGACTATCCATTGCTCATAAATGCCACCTAGAAATGAAGACCTGAAGCTTTTGTGCTTCCCAGAGTTAGCTGTGGGTTGCATTCTATCTCCTCTTCCATCTATTCTTGGTGCACTTTGGCGAGGAGGGTCCTCACCAGCGAGCCAGCAGCCTGCCTTCCCTCTGCCGAGCCCGCACCCCGCAGCTGCAGAGGATGCAAGAAAGACAGTTATCCCCCCAAAACAAACTCCAGAAGATACAGGCAGAACCGCCAGCGAGGGGGCCGTGCCGGAGCCCAGCCGCGCACAGCCGTGGCAGGAGGGGACAGTTCCCGCAAGGCAGTCAGTTTGAGTTTTAAGGCATTTGTTTGTTTCTTTGTCACTGGGCAACCGAGAGGATGGAAAAAAATATCAATGTCATATTGTCCCCTATGAGTCACTGCTCAGCGCGGGCTGAGATGCCCCGTTCCTCCCGCCGCCGAGCACGGGGCGGCCGGGGAAGAGCCCAAGGCACCCCAAAAGCGGCGCACTCTGGCTCTTGCTGCCTGCCTCCCCCCGCCCCGATGCCTTCCCTATCCCCACGGCTGGGGACACCAGTGGTCTGGGGACACTGGTGGCCCAGGGACAACTTTCCAGGCCCTGGAAGACAGCGCAGGAATTTGCATTTATATTTGCATTTCCTAATTGCGCCTGCGGGTTTCCTGGGGCAGCGGCTGGCTTTGGTTTCCATGGCAGGTTTTGTGCGGACCCCGAGAACCGAGGGAGGCACAAAGGGGCCACAATGGACCTGCCACTCACCCGCATCAAAGGCGGCCGGCGGGGGGGGGAGGGGGGACCGGGGGAGGGGGGACCG